AGTCGGCATTTCCTACGGACTACTCTGAGAAGAAACGCCGAAACAAACTCAGAGGTCTCAGTCCCTTTCAAAGTTCACAAATGGTCAAAATACATCAAAGTTTAGTCCACTTACATTGTAATAATATTCACAGTTATAATCTCAAACAATATAATGTCAATGACAATTTCACAGCACTGATTCTGATGATTGCAATCATTATTCGGCCGACAGCATTCCCAGTGCGTCGTTGTTCGTTCGGAGTCCCAGCCAAAAGTGCCTGCTGTTCTGCGATGTTGAAAGTCACTCAATCTCCCCCACTCTTAGGCGGACATGACGTCACAATTAACTCTTGAAGCGCGCCATCTTTATTCATTTTGTTGTTATTCCTTCGTTTTGTAGTAAATCGAAATCTCGTACTAATGACCGTTCCGACAGATACGTCGTTGAAATCCTGTTAAAACTTGGCACTACTAAAGTATACGAAAACTACATCTCCCAGTTGTATCAGATCCATTAGAATAAAAACAGAGAATAATGTGTATTACCAAACTACCATGAGGTAAAACAGGAATGCAGGAGCAAAATCGCGGGTAAAAGATAGTAATTAGTAATCTGAACACATAGAATATGATTGTTTTGACAGATACTTTACATTTATACTTACTAGTAAGTAGTATGTAAATAAATTGTTAGCTAAATTGAATTTTAAAATGCTCTTCTTTAAGGTCAAGGCTCCAAAATCAACTATTTGTTTTTGGATAAAAGCCAAAGTCCTTTAGGTCTAGGCACGGAGCCAGGTACCTAAGACTACGTTTTGAAAATCAGCATTTTTCAGATATCAAGGTAAGTTTGTGGAAAATTCCAGTGTAATAGAGAATGGTTTTATGACACCTCTCCTCGTTTTGACCGAAAACGAAATGTTATCACAATGTACTTCAAAATTATGGACTAAAACTGAAAAACAGCTTATTAAAAACATAACTCATTACCGGCTTAAAAATATTCTACAAACAATAAAAATAAGCAAATAGTATGCTTTCAATATTATTTCAGCGACACTCCTTGGAAAAACGTTAGGGCAAAAATCCTTCACTAGTAGGTATTTGCATACAAAAAAAATCCGAAGCTGAGTATTTTATGATAAAATATTTAGACTGTCCAGGGTATTCCTCGAGGATGCCAAGCGTTAGAAAGAAAACTACGAGCTACTTCAGTTTTTACGCTGCTTTGACTTGATACGTTATTTTTAAAAGAGCTCTCTAGATTCAACCACATTTTCCTAAATGTATGTAAAATTATGGTAACAAAGAATGTTATAAAACGACTTTCAAAATGTTATGTTTTCTTGTTTTTCTCTATGATGTAGTTTTAACTTTATTATGGTTTATTTGAAATTAGTTGTAAGTGAAATAAAGTTAGATAATTCAATTAATTACATTTTATAGTTATGGTCACTTTGACTGCCTCGTTGACCGAGTGGTCGCAAGTGCGACTGCGCGCCAAGGGGTCTCGGGTTCGATTCCCGGGTCGGATAAAGTATTACTGGGTTTTTAAAAATTCTCAGTAGTAGCACGAAGTTTGGAACTGTGTCCGGTATATGGCAATAGGCTCACTCCCTATTACATGGGACTCATAACATAAATAGTGAAAAGTGGGTGTTATATTTTACAGAGGCATAGTGTACACCTCTGCCTACCCCTTCGGGGATTAATGGCGTGATGTTATGTTATGTGTTATGTTATGTGGTTACTTTTGCTTCACTAGAGGATTGACCTACAGACTGACATTTTTTCTTATTATTTAATATTCAAATATTTTGTTTTGACGTTAAAAGTGCCTTCCTGGTCTAATTAAAATAAATGATTTTGACTTTGACTTTGACTTTATTTTCAGAAGGATTGTCGTCGTTATCAATTTATCGTACTAAAATCCGGATTGTGGCCATTTTCTGGTTAACAAGCCAAAAACTTTTCTGACCAAGTATTCCATGCAAGCACGGAATGCAGCGGAATGTAAAATTGAAGTTCGATACAAATATCCCATACCTATCCTATATCCAGATCAGCGGTTCAGAGTTTTAGTACCGGCGAGCCCACGAATGTTTCCACCAGATGGAATCCTTCAAAGGGATGCATTCACAACCGTGAAATTCAATTAGATTATGGGTACCTACGGACTCTAGGGTTTGCTCCTCTGATCTCGACTGGTTTCTTCAAAGTATTTCCAAGTCGCCGTCTGCTTTTTACTTTGAATCGAATAAATATGGACGTTTCATCTGTTAGAATGTCTCGCAATATGCAAGTTGAAATACATGAATTAATATTACGCTATAGATATGTAAATTGTAGTCGAAACAATGGTTGTTGTGGTTATTAATAAAATGAAACTGTTTTGTAATTAGATGATGCATGAATAGAATAAGAAACCAATTTAAGAATAAAACATTTAATAAATATAACATATATTTTAATAACACTTCATATTTTGCAATAATAAACTTATAATAAAACTTTTACTGTGTAAATATACCATCAATTCTGTATATTGTAAACGTCACACTTAACTTTACAATCAAGTAGCAATCGAAACAAAAGTACTATCATCACAAATACATATAATGTAGTTTTATTCAAAAATAAATAAGTTGTTTTAAATTTAATTAAAATGTTATTATTATTGAAATTACATTTTTTAAAGTGGCGTGTTTCAAACGTTTACAAAATCGTATAGGATAACAGGCGGGTCATAATTGCAGAGGTCGCGATCACAAACCGCCCACCAATAGTTGTAGAGTGGAGCTTTGACGCAGCCTCGCCAGATGTAGCCGTCAGCTCTTAGTGCCCTTACTGCACAAATTTCATCAACTCTACAATCTTCCACGGGTAAATTACCACTGAAATTAGAATCCAAAATATATGTAACTGCATTTTCTGATTATTTGTTCATCATCATCATCAACAGCCTATAAATGCCCACTGCTGAGCAAAGCCTCTTCTCACACGGAGAAGGTTAGAGCGTTAATCACCACGCTTGCTCAATGCGGGTTGGCGATTTCAAACTTATAATTAGAAATTATAAGTCCAGGTTTCCTCACGATGTTTTTCCTTCACCGTTTGTCAGTGGTGTCTAAATAATCTTAGAAAGTACATAGAACTCGGAAAAAGTCCCATTGGTACTTGCCGTTGGTAGGTTTCGAACCCGCACCCTCATGCATGAGAAGTGGGCGTCTTAAACCTCCGGGCCAACACGACATTCCTTGTATTGATTATTTGTATAATACTACAAAAAGTTTTTAGTACAAAATAACAATGAACTTACATGCTTCCTTCTAAACAATTTGCGCTGTCGAGCATATCTCCTGTTTTGGTGGTCGTGTTGACTTCGCATCTCAAGCAAGACATATCCTTAAACACAGATTTTCTAAAGTGCCTCGTACGTGAGAGCTCAATAACATTATCGATCCAATCTCGCTTCTTAGAGAACATAAATGGCATCTCAGAAATGGATATGTAGTTGCACAGATTGCATGAACATACGTAGGTAGAGATATTGTGATTTACGTTGTAACATCCACGATCCACTATTCCAAACGGCGTGTGCAGCGAATAACACACGTCATCATCATGTTCGCACATTATCGACGGTATTCTGAAAATTTAATAATCACAAGAGAAAGCAATTTTCTTAATACAGCCTAATATTTAGTGATTATATAGCTTCCTTGACTCGAATCATTTTAAATTATATTAACAGCAAGTAAATATATGGGATTTTTACATATTTAATTTTATTGAATTAATAGTCTTGATTTTTAAATACTCACAATTTATTTTTAGGGTCATTACAATCTTCTGTCGCAACATTATTGCACATGATACATGATCGCTTCATGTCACCAAACTCGCTTTCAGAAGAGTTAAATCGTATTTGTTGGGCAAACATTCCAACTTCCCTTTCTCTTTTATCAGGTCTAGAATACACTTTTAGCGCTTTCGAAAGTTGCAGATGGTCCACCTTTGAATTCAATACATCATTTTCGGAAAGTTCTTGCTTATCTAGCAAAGTAGTAAGAGGTAAGTTTTCATCTAGCATTTCATCATCTGCAGGTGTAGAAGTAGAAATGCTAGCACTACTATTGCATACAAGAGCTTGTTGAGTTGTAAAAGTATCAATGTACATTGATTCAAATTTTACTGTGGTTTTTGTGAATCTACGGGACTTTGTACTTCTATGACGTATGTTAGTTGGAATAATTTTTTTCTTGATGAGATGTCCTTTAGTAGATTTTTCTGATTTATTATCAATATCAATAATGTCATCGAAGATTTCTTTCACATTTTTAACAAGAAATGATACTAAATTACGGGGGTCGTCTGATTCAGTTGTCTGAAAAAAATCACCGTCACCGAGTTCTTCTACCTTTCGTCTAAAATAAGGTAATCGTTTCTTACTTTTTTTAACTTCAACGCAGTTAGTGTGTATTGTAAAAAGAAATAAAAATCCTAAAAAACATCTTATTGTATTCATTTTTATCATGTGAACAGAAGGTTGACGTTTAAATGAATTATAGTATCAAAGTCAAAAAACAATAAAGCATAGAAAAATCATAGATGAACTTTTTTCACAACTGTTTTTTTTATTTTATAAACAATCAAAAATCAAAGTAAACATTTTATAAAATAATAATATGTAAAATCAAAAATCATTATCCACGTACAAAATATCATTATCAAAGCGTAAGGATGGACACTACAAATTTCTGAACCTAAACTCGATGATCGTCTTCTTGGCACGTCATCCTTCAACATATCATGTTCCCGACGTAGTCTTAAGTTTTCTCTTGGGTTAATGTATGACTCCTTATTACATTCAGTGTTATTACAAAAGAAATAAACTGAATTATATAGGGGTTGTGCTATGCATCCTCTGGACACGAAATCTGTTTCATCGTCAACGTTTGTGTAACAAAGTTGATGGCGACCACATACCATGTAGTCTGCACTGTAAATAACAAAAAATTATCGTTACCTATATAACAGACCATATTCACTAAATGAACTAACCCTTAATTAGATCAATTATGTCTATGTCATTAAAATACATCTACATTTTATTTTCATGGGCCCCTATCCAATAAAAGCAAGCGAATAGTCGGTTCACCAGATGATAAGTAATTAAACCGCGGTGACTATTAGGCAGTTGTCTCACCGGCAACGACGAACGAGCAACGAGTAGACCTAAAATTGGAAACGAGTTGGCGACCCGCCGGGAGCCAGTGCTAAGTGGCTATAGTTCAAATAGTTGCTCCAGCGTGTCCTCGCCGGCAGTATGAACAGTCAGCGGTCATCATCGATTCGTATTACGCATCTCTTTAGTTTACACGGAATATATAATCTATTATACTAGTTGTTTTCTCGTCGTCGGTGGAACAATAATGCCGTATGTCCTTTTGACCAAACACCCCAAATATTTTTTAATTTAAAAATTGTGATAAAAATAGTGCAAAATATTTTGTGTACTAACTTTTTACCAAAGCGACAGTTTTTATCTGACGATGGGTTCGTCCCTTTAGTTTCACAAACTTTGCACATTAGTTCCATTCCAGTAGTAGGCACTTGAAGCCTAGCGTTATCAAATTCCCAATCGTTGAGTTTCTTATATTCGTAATGGCTAATGTCGAAGGAGGGTTTGTCGTTACAGAGAGGACATTTGCATATAAATGTTCTATTTACCCTTCCAGGTAATACACAACCTCTTTTTATATAGAGCGGATTAAGTTCTACGAAACAGTGTTCAGCATCACCACATTTTTTTGATGGGATACTGAAAATGTAAAGGCAGAATTAAATGTCGTGAATTAAAATGTCGTGGTGGCCCCGAGGTTTAACACGCACGCTTCTCATGCATAAGGGTACGGGTTCGAAATCTACCAACGGCAAATACCAATGTGACTTTTTCCGAGTTATATGTACTTTCTAAGATTATCTAGACACCACTGACAAACGATGAAGGAAAACACCGTGAGGAAACCTAGGTTTATAATTTCTAATTATAAGTTTGTAATCGCCAACCTGCATTGAGCAAGCGTGGTGATTAATGCTCAAACCTTCTCCGTCTAAGATTATCTAGACACCACTGACAAACGATGAAGGAAAACACCGTGAGGAAACCTAGGTTTATAATTTCTAATTATAAGTTTGTAATCGCCAACCTGCATTGAGCAAGCGTGGTGATTAATGCTCAAACCTTCTCCGTATGAGAAGAGGCTTTGCTCAGCAGTGGACATTTATAGGCTGTTGATGATGATGATAATGAAAGGCAGAATTGTATTCCTATAGCGTTAGATACAAGAACAAATAAGTGACATGAAGTTAATAATTATTTTGTATTGCATTGCACTTACGCGACTCCGCTGAAACAGTTAGTAGATTTTCTTGAAGTATCATTTCCATAACATGAATAGCACTCTATTCCAAAAGTCACAGTGCCGTTTAAAATATCTCTTGATTTTCTGTGAGTATGGAACTCTTTTTCTTTTATTTCATGTTTATCGATGTTAGTATTTTCCGAAAATTGGGAATTATTTCTCAATATTTTTAGCAGATCACGGTTACTGAATGTTTCAACGTCTGCTGGAACAACTGTATTGTTATATTCAGTTTTTGCACTGTCGGTTACAATTACATCTGTAATATTATCATCATCTGTACTGATTTCTTTAAATAAAGAAAATATTATAAGAAAATTAAAAATATTGTGTAAAATTGACATTTTTAAAGTACCATCCGAAACTTTGAGATAAATAATGTCATTGGTTTTGAAAGAAATGACAGAAGATAAAAAGGTTTTATATTGATGATGTGAAATAGTTTTTAATACTTATCATTTCTTTTATTTAGGTAAGTTTCTACAAGTTTATATTCCTAGTTTCTAGATCGATTTCTAAACTATTAATAGTTATTACACATTTAAGTAAACTTGCATTTAATTAACACACCAGTTTGAATAGTTAAGTAAGTATAATGATTTTTTCATTCAGTTAGTAAAAGCCTACTTTAGCCTACATCGACTAAAAGACAAAGAGTGATATTGGTCTGTTCGTTAATAAATATCCAAAAAAAGAGAAGGTTAGCTTACATGAAACTTCCTTCAGAATGAAGAGGCCAAAAAATTGCACAAAGAAAATTACACGTTGTAGTTCGAGACCATAAAACAATAAACAGAAGAACGGACTATTAAGCAAATTGCTACATTTCTTCGGCCTACAGCACCGGCCGTACAATTTAACACTTGTTTCATTAAAATTCTGAATATACAAAAATTATATAAATTGGTCTCAGTTTTGGCAGCTTTTGCGATGTTAAATATTATTTTGTAAATAAGGGATCCTACCAAGTAAAAGAGGTACTGGGTAAAAGGCCTTCATGCAGAAAATTGTCTGCTTTAAATTATATTTCACGTTATATACAAGTCTCCTTAATTAAGTTTAAGATCCAAAACTAGTATACATTCAGTTCTTCAGGATGCCGTCAGAGAGGTACTATAATCCGTATGGGAACGCAAATGTACGTAACTGTTACAATGCACGGTCAAGCACGATATGTAAGGACTAACCAGCGTTAAAGGAAACTTGATAACACCTCTATGCGTTATTGATGCGCTCTAAACCTAGAGCAAGGAAGTTTTGGATGCGGCATCTAATTGGATTGAAGGAACAGAAAATTGTATTTGAATTTGGTGTTCCATTTAATGTTGTATTAAGCAGAATTCAATTAACATTTTTGAAACATACATGAGTACAGACGTAGTTCACTCAATGCATCAACGAAAACAATACCGGTCATGGTATTTTAAATAAGTGGTTCCACGCACCTTGAACCACAGAATGCAAAGACCAAAAGCATAATTATCCTTTCACGTCAAAAGTGCAAATTGGGAGCCATACACACAACTCCTTACACCAAGGTGAAAGGCTAATAGTAACAATTCTGTAATCACGCATCTCCGGGAATAACGTCTTCTCACGTCCATGAGCGGCGGTCCCTCGGCACGACGCCACGCTATAATTCAACCCAATAATGATTCATATAAATTTGCGAAACGACCGAGAGGTGCAAACTGTAAGAGTGAGCGATGCAGTGTATAATTTGCTCGAGTACAGGCCGCGGGCGGATTATGTAGTGTTGCGAACACGTATGTAACTATCGATACAATTTAAACGATTTGCTGTGACGTGTATGTATTTTTATGGAAGACGTGACTTTATGAGGATTCTTCACATTGCTAGCTGCGAGACTATGTATTCAGTGCGGACATTAAAGCATAATATATTATCAACACGAAAATCACCAACAATATTTACAAAACTGGAATATAGTGTGCATTGACATCACGAACACGATAATTTAATTTTCCATTGTCACACAAACAACAACGCAAACCTGCATACCGGACCTGAACAATCTATTTTGTTCAAACAATCAAGCATTAGCTAGATTATGTAAATATGATTCATATTTCAAATTCGTTGGACGCATAATTAACGTTTAATTTGATCGGCATTGCAATCTATTACCGTACGATAAACAAAGCTGGTTAACGTTTCGATAAAATTTTAATATCCATTGTTCGCTACACTAGTGAAGTGTCATTTGACTTTTATCATCATTATGAAAATATTTTCCTTATTTCAGTTGAAGCACCTTGCATGATTGGTAATTACAAAAAAGTGGTGTCAAAAAAGAATTAAGTTATTTGGTAATTCGTGGATATTGATCAGTTTAGTTTAAATCGACCTTGATGGCTTATTTTACCTTTTTTATTTCCTTATCAAATACTACATCATATTCAACGACGTACTTGGTTTAATGTTAATTATCAATTAATATTTCTTAATCAGCAATGAACTTGATAAGTCACTTACAAGATGTTTGGACGTATTACACACAGACCAAGGTCTGTGTGAAAAATTTCGTATCCTTAAATTCATCTCCCGTCTTTCCACGTGTCCTTGTAGGTACTAGACTTGCATAATCTAAGATTTCGTGTGAGGATGTATTGCCTTGCAGGATGAGATGATCGGTCGCTTGTCAATATCCCTGGCTAACCACTTCGTCAGCCCTCATGTTACCTTACCAATATTCATTCGATATTCACTAACGACCATCACTAGTAACTGTTCTTGTTAAGGCGTAGTTATAACAAAGCTAGGAAGATAGTAAATAAATACAGTAGCGTATCGTAATCAAGTTAATTGATGAAAAATGTTTTTAGGGTGATTCTTCGATGGTAGATAGTGGTAGTTGTGTCAAATTAAAAAACGTAATTGGAGCAATTACACCGCGCCTGCGTAGAAATAAATTGATATTGATATAGGCTTCTTATATTATTTTGAAGAGTGTAACGTAATTTTGGGTTAAACCGAAATTTCTTACCTCATTGCCATGAGCAAACAAAATTAAAAAACAAGAGGAGAAACACTGGTCATATCTTAGTACATTAACATTTAGATCTATCGTTATATTATTTACTGGCTATCTTCCCCGGCTTCACATGGGGGCAATATGCATGTATTATACCTACTTATAAACCTTCCTTAAGAGTCACTCTATCTATTAAAAAACCGCATTAAAATCCGTTGCTTACTTTTTAAGATATAAGCATACTTAGGAACAGACAGACGGCGGATAGCGACTTTGTTTTATACTATGTAGTTATTAAAGTTTATATTAAGTAAGTAAGTATACTTATAAGTATAAATATAACCCACAAAAAGCGATTCGGTTACCAACGCTTTTCTCATAAAAATATCCCTTCAACATCGTATCCGTGTAAAAATATATATCTAATTCAAAATTAGTATTCGCGAAACGTAACGCAAGGAGTAATATCTATGAACATACGCGAAGTAATAACTGTATCGCAAAGAAAAATAATATAACACGAAATAACGTTATATTACTTTATATAAAAAATTTCGAACGGGTAACGACTTTGCTTTTTATTTCGTACCGTTTCTTTAGAGTGAGTCGTCAGGAGTAAGGAATTGCATACGACATTTATTTACTTACGGTACAGTTTAACAAAAGTCAGTGCTCCGTGATATTGATATATGAGGTTACTTATCTTTCAAAGAAACGGATAAGACATGTAGGTATAGAATTACACTTTCGACGAAATATTTTATTAAATAAATTTTAATTTAAAAATCAAATACCTATATTTTATTGAATCGAATGTCTAATTCGATCATAACCTTAACGAAAGAACAAACCTCATGACAGTAGTACAAATAAAATAAATCTAACAAATATTACATAATACTGATGCCCGATATTTTTCAATTACACTTACACGCAGCCATTTCGAAACTCAATCAAGCAATTTTAATTATAATCAACCCTTTTATTTCCGAAGGGGTGGACAGAGGTGCACATTGCGGCACATAAAATCACTGTGCAATGTAAAAATATATCATGAGTACACAAGACTCATGATATAGGGGGTGAGCCTATTGCCATATAGTAGGCACAATCCCAGACTTGTACGTTTTTCGTGCTACCAATGAGATTTTAAAAAAATCCATGGGTTGCATTCACATTTGCGACCACTCGGACAACGAGGCAAGCAATATTAGTTTAGGTTATAATTGTAAGCAAGTCACAAAAGAATTATATTTTCTCTGTCAGTCCTTCACTCCAAGCCGTCGTCACCGCTAATAACGTCACCATCCTCATTTTCATACAAAGAACGTTCAGCTCGTCTTTTCAAAGTTAAAAACTCTATTCCCTTTTGAACAATTAAGTTAGGGCTAATTCCGTTACTAAAGTTATTTGTTCTCATTGAATTTATGGCTGGTGCGGAGTCGAAGAACAGTTGAAGAATTCCACTTTACGTGTATAATTTGATCTAATTTGGAAACTTATATAATGAAAAGAGTTTGATCTTTTGCATAAATAAGTAAGACTTTAAAGAAAGTTTTTAATTGCTATCGAATTTCTTGTTTAAACATGCGATGAGGGTTTAGTAAGAAATATTAAAAATAAAAGAAGAAATTATCATACTTTAGCTCGAAAAATTGTCTATAAAAGTTTAGAATGAAACTCGTGGGAGGATTAATGATATAATTTGTATTTACATAATCGTTTTATGAATAAAATTGTTGTTATGAAAATAAATAATCTTTAAATCGAAATCAAAAAAGTAAATAACATTTTCAGAACACGTAACATTTCCCCACCAAAATACGGTTTCAAGGAAGAAATGGAAACGAATACCAAATAACATGTTTTTCTTTACAAATACATTATGTAATTTTTTGAGACTGCTTATATGTGTTACTATGATTTTTACATAAAGAAATTAGGTTACTCAAGGAGCCAGTGGAGTGGAGAAGTCGATAAGCTGACGTGAGTGTGCCTTTGAAGATATTTTTACATCACTTCGTACTCGCAGATTATAAGGTAAGAATATTTTCTTGCGGTTTGTATAATTGCAAAAATTATGTTCACATAAGAATATTTTTATACCAACTTATTACAGTAATATGCTCGTATACAACTGCTCAATTTATGTCAACAATGTGCCTACATAAAAATAAATTAGATCAAGATCGAAGAGTTACAGTATAGGAAAAATAAAGTATTCAAACCTCTTCTAACAAAACCTTATACAAAAATCTACGTGCAGTTTTAAAGTTGCAATGTAAAA